GCAAGCATGCAAGCATGCATGCATACATGCGCCCATATTTGCTGTGTAATTTTCCCGGTTTCACCATTCAATCGTTGAATTCAATGCGAAGAGTACTTTGTGCCAGAAATGGAAACCCTAAAGCACTCACTCCTGCCTTCCAATCTTGCTCATAAGCGGATTCCGTCCGAGCAGCTGCAATGTCGGGAAAGTGATTGAGCTGTCGAGGCTTGGTTGACCGGTGGAAGCGATCACGAATGATCTGCATTGCCAGGCTCTTGGAGGAGCCAGGCTTCCCAACCTTGGACGATTTGGGCTATGAGGGTCAAGGTTTAAAGGTCCAGGGCTTCAGTTTTGGGACATTAATCGGGGTCGATACGATGTTGTGACCTTTAATCCCTCTCGCATGGCTAGGATCAAGGCCTACGATGTGATTAGTGGCTTGGCGTAAATAAGGGACACGCGGAAGCGCACAACTGGAATGCATCCGACACACGAATGGGCAAACTCATAATTAATATCAAACCTTTTCACTACGAAACTTCTGAAGTGAACAACTAAAAGTCTTAGAGCACCAACAAAAACCCTGGCAAGGCAACCTTGAAGGATCCAGCCCCAGATGCCCACTTTCCGTGCCGGCTTCAGCCAGAACGGATAGTTACAGTTAATGTAGGGGCCTTACTAATTCATTGGAGCCCCAAACAATAATTTTGGTAAATATTTAGGCCTCTGCGTGAATTGCAGGTGTTAGAGGAGCCGCAACACTCACACATGGAGAGGAAGAGGTAGTACGAAGGCACTGTCGTGATCATGGTTCCGGGTCTTCTTCAGAGTTTGGAGTTTAGATTCTATCCTTCTCGTCTTTATGGCGATGACACCGGTGCTGGCAGTCAAATCTCAGCCTTACCACTGGCGTCAGGCGGCGATGATCAAGGGTATACGCACATCAATGCAGACGATCCTCGGCAGGTGGTGGTGTGCGAAATGTTACCCCCAAATTTAAAAGCCTCAATTAAACTACAGTCTGCGACCCTGCAGGCAGAGACCGAGAGACTCTTGAGTCTCGGACGCACATCACAAGGTGCTGGGAACAAACGGCTTAGGTTAGGGGTTTACGCTTTGGGGTGGCTTGGGGTTTTGGCTCACGCTTGGGCTCTCCAGGATAAGCATGCCCTGGTCCTTAAGCTTCCGTGATCGCAAGATACGGATGAGACCCTGCTCCCATGTGTTTGGAGTACGTAATCGACATAATCCCCAAACAGGCCCTAACCCCAACGGACCCGTGGCCAAGGATCATGGTGAAGATGTTCTCTTTGAGCGACTGGTTCGCTGCAACACCAGCGGGGAGGGGCTGCGTCGCCTGGATCGCCTGCCCGCTGCAGTGCAGGAATCGTTTAGTAGCAGCTACTTTCGCAAGCTGTTCTGCCTTTCGTCATTCATTGTTATTGTTGTTGACATCATTCGATGAGCACCAATACTCCCACAAGGTCTTTCTACTTGTCAGATCTCTTGGTGCTGGGCGCAGGGCCCTCCATGTTGTTTCTGAGCATTGCTTCAGTTGATGTCAGCTTACACATCCGGGCGTCTGGCAGTGGCATACGTTACGTAGCACATGCCGAAGTCGCAGCTTAGAATGTTGGCTTGCTTTGCTTCGAGCCCTTTCTCGCTGCCATTACAAGCTTCGAGATAGGATACCTGAGCCAACTATAGTCTGCGCGGAGGCCTGGATCATTTGGTCCATCTGCTCGTTGATCAACTCCTTGCAGAATCTTAGGTGAACTCCCGCCGTTACATTCATCCTTGTTACTTCAAGGGCTTCAGGCCATCGCCCCTCCGTGGACAACTGCTCATTTTGCCCCTGCACGGTCCGTGCGAAAGTTACATCTCGATGGAAGCTGCTCCGGCAAAACGGCGATCCCTCCCGTACACGTACGCAGTTTGGATGATGTCGGACTTGCACAATCCCTTACCCCCCTTCATTAATACTGAATCGTTCGCTCTGTTCTTGCGCTTGGTGTTCTTGTATGCTTTGCTGGCATGGGAAGTCATCTTCCGGTCTCTGCACGTTTTGGGAACACGATTCAGCTGCCAGGACTGGTTCATGGAAGAAAAATGCTTCAAGGCTTAAACTATGCTCTCCAAAGGCGGTCGTGCAACAACCCTGGCTCCATCAGCGCAAAACACAGTGCAACCTTCTGCAGTACGGCTTGGCTCCTCCACGAAGTTTGCCTTGTACCAGTTCTGTGGCAGCTCTGACCAATACGTCTCGATGGCATCCTTGCATGTCGACTTCTTCGTCATGTGGCGGCTGGCAGTGTCGTAGGGTGTAATCAGGCGGAGTTATGCCAAGTCAGAATTACAAAGCATGCGGCACATTGCTACTGCTGAAGAGGCTTGCCTGAAAATGCCAGTTCTCAAGACCGCCGCAGGACTTCATGGCGCAGTGCGCACACCCGTACCATTGTGGACTAGTTCACAGACACTGCTAATTCAATCACATTCGCCATCAGGATGGTGGGGCTGGACATGGCTCTGACGTTGACACTAAAAGTGTAGATCCCAGCAAAGAGCAATTACAAGGTCTGGAAGAGAATGGGCATGTGGACGAGAACGACAGTGATGCTGTGTGGAGAAGACGAGGTAGAGGCTGACAATGTTTATAAGGGAATCGGTGAGGATGAGGATGGGCACCATCCGGTCATTGTGAATTAAAATAACGAGAAACATTATGATCATGCTGATGCTGCTGGTGGTGACCCAAACTTGTGATACTAAGGCAGCTTGTGGCGATACAAGTCTGGTGGCGCAAGTGATGACGAAGTCATGACGATGGCAGACATTCAACAGATATTCTGTTCTTGATACTGTTTTGGAGGACGCTGATCATGGGGATGTTGATACATGTCATCGTCATCCTCCTGTGATGTTTGCTCAGTGCGAAGTCCATGCCATGACTGCAAAACCTGCACAATAAATTGGCTTCCCCCTGTTTGAGGGCGGCATGAAGCACAGTCGAGGGGTCGCGTATATGCCGAAAGTTCAACGTTTGTTGGACTTTAGATCAAAACCAGCCGCTCAATCATGGAAACTATCGGGCCGAGTCATTCGCCGGGGGTTGATCATGCACCCCTAAAACTCCTAAAGTCCTAAACCCTTATAATATAAAACCCTGCAGCCCTAAAATCCTAAAGCCCTAAACCCCTCAAGTCGAAAATCCTAAGCCCTAAACCCTAAAGCCCTAAACCCCTAAATCCCTTAACCCTAAGCCCCTAAGCCCCTAAACCCCAAATCCCTCAACCCTAAACAACCCCTGAACAGCCTGCTCCGAGCCTTAGGATGAATGCCCGGCATCAGTCCCGGCCCGGCCTTCACCCTCCAACGACCGTCATCCAATCGGATCCACTCACCAGTCCATACTCGGCAGAGCTCGCTCTCCTAGGTTTAGGGCTTGCAGGGTCTAGGGCTTTAGGGCTTTAGGGGTTTAGGGCTTTAGGGCTTAGGGCTTTCAGGATCTAGGGCTTCGGGGTTTAGGGCTTTTAGGGGTTTAGGGCTTTAGGCGTTTAGGGCTTTAGGCGTTTAGGGCTTTAGGGTTTAGGGTTTTAGGCCAATAAAGGAAAATCGAGAATGTTCCAGAGGCCTACCTAGTCTCAATCTCTTGCAGCAAAGCCGTCCGATGCTCTGACTTCAGCCGAAACCAGTAGCAAAGACAAATGGCCACGTAGAAGGCTTTAAGCAGAAGCGCTTGCTTGTGCTCTTGCTCCTCTGGCGAGCGTATATCGTCTTGATGCTCTAGCTTTCGTAGGTAGTAAGGAACCAAGTTGGCAACTCTGCGCACGTCCCTCAACGAAACTGCTGCAATGTCATTCTTCCTGCGAAGGAAATTGTGGCAGGCAAGCACCTGAGCGGTTTCCGAACCCCTCTTTTGAAACATGCTTCAGCAGGTACATGAACCTTGGTTCGGGTTTTAAGCAACCTAAAGAGCAAGTTTGGGAGATATGATTTAGAAGGAGCCTCAGCCTTGGATTACAACCAGTATGATGTCAAGAGCAACCAAAGCACCACGCACACCATGCAACAGTGCATTGGGCGTTCCTCCACCGAATCGAAGGGTAGAGCCTTGATGATCGCTTGAACGTAGCGCTTCTCTTCTGTCTTGCTTAGCATGCCAAAGTCCCAGACAGACATGATCAGGGACTGTGGCAAAGGATAGACCGCATAAACGAGATCTGCAATCGGCAGCGGGCATGAAAGCTTGTCTGAGATGGGCGCCAACTCAAGACCACCAGTTTCGTGGCACTTGGATTTCTTGCGGTAGGGGTTGCATGCTGCGAACACTCTCAGATTCGAAGGCAGCGCGCTGCCGCGCATGGACTTGTCACAAACGAGCTCGCGAAAGAGGCCGACGCAGCTAGCAGTGTTGATCTCATCCAAAAACACCCAGACCTTCCATTTGTTGTCACTATTAGCCAGAAAAACAGCATCTGAGACAAACTTAACAATGTCGTCCTCTGTGAGGCCACCGTGCACATCCAGAACGAAATCAGCAATCCCAAGGAACTTGGCCAAATACCGCACGACGGCACTCTTGCCGCAGCCGGACTCCCCCATCAGCACTGTCGGCACCCCCGAGTCAATACGAGTATACAGCGCTGACATTTTCATCACTGTATCCACCGTGAGTGCGAAGCCTCTGAGTCCCGGTTCATTACCCATGCCGCACAGCAGATGAGCCAGCTGCTCCCGAGACGAGCAGACCCCTAGGAGGTTGTTCAACAAGATCTCAAGCTCTCCGGGCACCCCGGGCGCACCGGAGTCCTCGACTTTCGAGTAATCAATCATCCTGAATCCATAGCTCTCCCAGTACTTCTTCTCCTTCTTGTGGTTAGGCTGCTTCTCCAAAAAGCCCCACGAGCGTATGATGGGGTTGAAGCCCGAGTGGTGGGTGTCGCGAGGTTTAAGCGCTCGATGTGCCTGGCAAGGCGTGGCGGTAGTTTCTTTGTTGAAACTTGGGTCAAACCCACTTTTCGGAACGGGCTCCATGTCCGTGCATCTATGTAGTTCATACCGGCACACGCACACACACGCAAAAACAAACAAGCAACCTAACAAACAAACGACCAACCAACGCACAGAGACAAACAGACAGACAGCTAGGCAGGCGAGCAAGCAGAGAGACAGAGAGACAGACAGACCCACAGACAGAGAGACAGAGAGACAGGCAGGCAGACAGACAGCAAGACACTCAAACAAACAAGCAAACAAACAAACAAACAACACAAACAAACAAAACAAACAAAACAAACAAAACAAACAAAACAAACAAAACAAACAAACACACACACACACACACAAGCAAACAAACA